GCTGACTTATCCCCTTAACACTAGCGTAAGAGGTAAAATCATTTCTTCCCGTTGTGCGATTGCAGACCGACTAACACTGGCGGCAAAAAATCTAAGCAAGTTCGTTTTGCTAAAGGTTTTATCATCTGCTTGTGTGATTCCAGAAGGAATTTCTACGAAAAATTCAACAAACTATCTTTCTTGGAAGTAAATTGAAAAACATTTACTCATCTCCTTCTTAGAAACCGAGGAAGGCCCTAATTATGCACCGAGTGGATGCACATCTATACGAATGAATCCTGCTCTGCAGGTACTACTTGGTCCAACTCAAAAGTTGTAAAATCGATTGCAGCAACCCAGGAGCTGAGTGAAAAATCCAATGTTGACCTCAACTAATCAGCTTATATTGCTTGACTAAAATTTACTTAGATTAATGACCTTTCTTTGAGGAAGAGTGAGAAGAAAACCATTCTAATTAGAAGTTAGTGGAAGATTAGAGGTGGTGATATAGAGCTCAGCCTTATTTGTAAGCGCTCGTTGAATCGCTTTATAACTTCCACAAACTTGTCAAATATCAAAAGCCATGCTGCACACACATACTTATTCTAAGATACAGCTGTAAACTGTGGCTGTTATGAAGTAGTATCCCGCTTTCCGGAAATGTTTATTCGCTTCTTAATCCTATTCACAGCTTTCCCCATTCAAATCGTAATTTTCTGATCGTGCGGTCAAATGCTCATAAAATGAGTGAGTCAAATAATCGCTTGTTGACAAATCGACCCATGTGGTCGATTAATGAAGTAAATGTTTTCAAAAAAATTTGGAGATTCTGGCATTTCAGGGGGACCTGACTTAATGTCTTGCGTCAAATCCCCACTCAGAGTGCGGGTGTGTTGTTCTCCTTTCGCGTTTAATAAACTCAGTGATGTTCTAAAGAAGGATGCTACTTAGAGTAGTTCTGAGTCAATAACGGATCTTTTTTTGTGTCAACTGTGTTCATCCATTAAGTTGTTCAGCATGTTTTTTTTCAAATATCTTCTTTTTATCGGAATAGGAGAATTTAAAGTTTGTATCATTTCTCTGCATATTTTTTTTGATAGAATCGTACAGATAATTTGTGAAATGAACATCTCGAGTCAAATCAAAGAGCGAACACGCATTTTATTTCCCGGAAAAATCACACCCTCTTGCTTTTTCTAGAAATTCATTACAACCAATATAATCCTCTCCTAAATGTCATTAAATCTAACACGCTTGTGCAAATGCTTAAAATTGGACCTTTTACTAGAGAAAGGAGTCATTTTGAGAAGAAATTTAAGCGTAGAAATTCATTTTCTGTCCAAGCAAAATTAATTCCCAAAGTAATTCCGAAAACCCAAGACAATTGTTGTCCGACTTACCTAGTTTGTCCTGTTGGAATTTCTATCCTATGCCAATAATACAATACTTCGATGGAAGATCTTTTGCCCCATACGCGCTCTCACTCATAATTAGATTGAATCATTATGAAGGAAAATAGCATTTTACGTAATTTCGCTACTGTCGCTATATCATTAAAAATGAAGTACGAGATCCCTCAGAATTGGCCTTTTCCATTAATGCTACTATAGAAGTCTTTTGTTCTAATAAAAGGGTCTTCTACATGTTGTTAGGGGCATGAGGATAAAGCATGTGATACCATCGTGTTAGCTGTGTGAGAGCAATACCATAGCTGGGAATGGCCTATAG